CTATTTTTTGGTTGCAGCCGTCATTGTTGTTTGGCGGGCCCGGGCTGGATTCAAACCCGCCACCTCAAGTGTATGTGGCTGGTGCCCTAGCCGCCTGAGCCACAGGCGCCAAGCCTCTTTTTTATTTTCTAACAGACAACTCTTTATTTCACTCTTACTTTGAAAAAAAGTGAATCAGATGTATGTTCAGTCCATCATCTTGATCCTTGACCCAAACAAGCCCCATTATTCATGAATTTGCTTTGATCTGAATTCTTTTCTACAAGGGCCTCTTTGCTCCTATAATCTTCTTTCAGTTTAATTTGTAGGGACCAACACACAGAACCAAAGGGGATACAGCAGAAAGTTTTTACCTCCCTTACACATGTAAAAATCATTACTTTGATGAACCACCTTACAGGAAAACTACCCCAGGAAGACATTGCTTACTGAGGTCACCTGCACTCTCTCAGCTCACACACATAAAAACATAAGAACCAGCTCAGCACCTGTGGCTCAAGTGGCTAAGGCACCAGCCACATACACCTAAGGTGGCGGGTTCGAATCCAGCCCAGACCTGCCAAACAACAATGACAGCTGCAACCAAAAAATAGTCGGGTGCTGTGGCGGGCACCTGTGGTCCCAGCTACTTGAGAGGCTAAGGCAGGAGACTCACTTGAGCCCAGGATTTGGAGGTTGCTGTGAGCTGTGATGCCACAGCACTCTACCCAGGGGGACAGCTTGAGGCTCTGTCTCACAAAAAAAAAAAAAAAGTTAAAAAAAATGTTAAAAACACAAGAACCACAGGCCTGAGAGTAATCTGATTTTTACACCTCATTTTATAACTGAACTTGCAGAGGCTCACTTGGGTAACCCTAGCCTTCCTTCCTTCTTTTTTGATTTCGGGATTTGTGGAAGGACCCAGACAGATTATGGAGTCGTCTTCTTGGGGGACCACCAGGCCATCCTGGTGCTGACCAAGGCATATCACCACACGTTCCCCGTCACCTGATGCCTGGCTGCAGAAACCTGAGGTCACCCTTCCACTTCTCTCACTTCGGCAGCAACTCCCGAATTGGGATGAGGGCCTTTAAAGTGGCTGACCAAAGGCCTAGGCATTGTGCTTTGAGGTTGAATTATTGAGGCCAGGTGAGACAAGCCTAGGCAACAGAAGAAGAACCATCTCTAAAACAAACAAATAAATGGCTAAATTACGATGAAAAAACCAAGGGTACCTTTAAACTGAGCTCTGCTCACCTTCAGAGCAGCTTCCACATGCAGCAAGAGTTCACCCATGGCCTGGGCCCTCCCTGCTGTACTGTCAGTGCCCCACACTCACCCCAAGCAGCATCTCTGTCCCCAGTCCCTTCCCCACCTAGGACTTTAGAGCCACCACTGGGCACGAGCAGCTGTGCCCAGCCCATAGTACGTTTTAGCAGATGTAATTCTTCCTCGATGCCACTCCAACCCTGTCTTTCCCCCTGGGGAAGAACAATGACAGAGCCCAATGCCACATCCCTGACCAGGCACAGTGGTGGCTACATATCTCAAATGCACTAAATGCCCCTGAATTGTACAGTATGAATTATGACGTGGCCAAGTTCAGGTGCAGCCTGCCCAAAGCTGCTGTTGGAGCCCTGAGGCCCCAGGGTGCTCGCCTGGTCCAAATGGGCCTGACCCTGTCTGGAAAGGAGGGCAGGAGATGCAGGCCATAGACAAGGTACACCAGAGGGGCCCTGGCCTGCTCCTATGGAGGGGTCACCTGCCTAGCTGGCTCTAGACACAAAGTGTGTGGGCAGGTGGGGCAGGTGGGGCAGGTGGGGCAGGGCCATTGCAGGCTCTGGCCCCAGAGGTTTTCAGGGAAGATGCCCTAGCTTCTCTCACGTACGAGGGATTTGAGACCAGGACCCTATGGTCAAGTCTTTTTTTTTTTTTTTTTTTTTTTGAGACAGAGCCTCAAGCTGTCCCCCTGGGTAGAGTGCCGTGGCATTACAGCTCACAGCAACCTCCAACTCCTGGGCTCAAGTGAGTCTCCTGCCTCTGCCTCCCAAGTAGCTGGGACCACAGGCGCCCGCCACAACACCTGGCTATTTTTTTGGTTGCAGCCGTCATTGTTGTTTGGCGGGTCCGGGCTGGGGATTCGAACCCACCACCTTAGGTGTATGTGGCTGGCGCCTTAGCCGGTCCACATACAGGCACCGAGCCCTTATGGTCAAGTCTTAGGTGTCCATGCTTCAGCCATGGCAGGAGTGAGTCAGAGGGGTGTCCAAGTACAGCCACTCACCTGGACTCACTCTGAGAAATAAAGCAATCATGGAGGCAGCTCACTGTGCTTGAGTGAAGATTTTGAATTTATAATCAATAGTTACGAATGAAAATCCTCAGGAATAGAGGAAAAGAAAAAATAATAGTGAATGAGAAGCCCCCCCCCAAACAATACAACAGTACACACAACCTGCATCCTGGGCATGGGTGGAGAGACTTCCTGAAACTTCTGGCACCCGCTGCAGGTGGAGTCAAGCCCTACACAACCAGACCCATTGGCCTCTCTAATGGCACAATCACACCACATGTACCCATTGGACAGTCTAGCTTTACTACACAAATCCTGATGATGTGGCAATCTAACTCAAACAGTCCTTAGAGAAAAAACTGTTATTAGCTTAATTTTTGAATATCAGTTACAATCCTGTCCCTACCACTTCATCACCATCGCAGAGGTCCACTCAAGCAACCAGCTACAACATAAGGTATGATGTTTTTCTAGGTAGAAAAGAGTGAAAGGCAAACACCAATTTCATCACTCCTTGTCAGTGCATGCCAGATAGACAGGTCCATTCCTCCAGACCCCAGCTTGCAGAGCAGGAGAACAGGCTCCCTAATGACCCACTCAGAGCCCTGATGGTCACCTACTGCCACAGTCCCAGGGAGCTATGGAGAACCCTGCAGGGATGTGAGGGAAGGCCACCCACACCTACCAAGCACCCAGCAGAACTGTCTCTGGCTCAGATGCTCCTCATCCTCCTAAAAGGAGCTTGACCAGATCCCAGAAGGGACCATGGCCTGCTGTGGCATGAACATGACTCAATATAGAAGAACAGCCTCGACTAAGGAATACATGGGAGCCAGGTGGGTATTCATGGTCAAGGGCCTGAGGGATGATAGGAACCACTCTGGACCCCACCTTGTCATGTCAGGACTGCACGAACTAAGCAGGGCAGACCCCACTGAACAGCCTTTCTTGTCTTTAGGATTCTGGATCTTGCCTCAGGAACAGAAATTCTCCATGTGGCTGAGTGCAGTGGCTCACTCCTATAATCCTCACACTCTGGAAGGCCAAAGTGGGAAGATCCCTTGAGCTCAAGAGTTCTAGATCCCATCTCTACTAAAAATTGAAAATCTAGCCGGGCATTGTAGTGGAGCCTATAGTCCCAGCTACTCAAGAGGCTAAGGCAAGAGGATCATTTGGATTTGAATCCAGGAGTTTGAAGCTGCTGTGAGCTATGAGGCCATGGCACTCTACCCAGGATGAATAAATGAGACTCTGTTCTCAGAAAAAGAAGAAATCCTCCTCCAGAGCAGATACAGATATGCACATACTGTGCAGGTGAAGCACTCCAGCGCAGCTGTGAGCCCCTCCTCAAGCACATCATGTGCTCAGGATGCTGAGTGTTCAGGACTTGGCTTAACAAGGACAGAAGGAACACAGAAAACAGCTGACTCACTCAACCTGCAGCTGAGCGACCCCACCACAGGAGTCTCACTGTCCCACTGGGCTGAGAGTACCTGAGAATGACCTTCTGTCACAGCCATGTGCGTATGCAACGGCAAGGCTGTGCAGCTCACCTGCTCAGACCCAGCAAGGACAAGGCTGGAAGTTTTCTAGACTCTTCTAGAAGGTATCACCAATTCCATAAGCAGGTGGCCTTCAAGCACAGCACCCAGAGATCACCGCCATCTGTGTCCTTAACAGTTCTGTTAAACCAGATGACACCAGGCATTCTCGGAACATCATGCACTTACATTTCCGGGTTGGCCACTGTTGGTTGAGGTGCTGTTAGTGGAGCTAAGATCACGGCTGCCCCAGTCACTTGAGGTTCCAAGGCCCTCTGCCAAGAAAGGGGAGCAAAGTTTGAGGGACTGCTGCTGGCACCACAGCCACCCCCCCTAGTAGGGACCAAGAGGGCACCCTGGTCTGGTAAGTAGGTGGCCAAGAGGAGGAGCTGGAGCATTGACATTACATGTCTGGAGCAACAGGACATTCAAGGTCTTTAGATTCAAGTCCCTAATGGTTTCATCACCCAAATGCTTAAAGTGTAAACAAGAATATCTGCACTTCCCACTAAAGTAAAAATTCCAAAGGAAAATTTGAGTTTGCAAATACACTCACAAAACCGGGAACCCAACCCTACAGCTGTGAAGAAGATACCCTTGGGAGGCTGAGAAAAGGCTGTGTCCTCACACAGGTACCCAGGTAGTTTGTTTTTGCCATTGGGAATTTGTCGTGAGCCTGCACGGTCACCAGAGCTAAACCCTCATTGTGTGGACAGTAAGCATGAGGCTTGAGAAAATTTAGGGCGTTTCTGGGGATTGGATGACCACATCTCACTTTTAGGGTCTCTAGTGTCTTTCCAGCCAAGTACATAGTGCAAGGCTCCAGGGAGCAGCTGTGAGGCAGAAGGATGAGGCTGCCCCGCCCAGGGCTCCGGCAGCCCTCAAGGCAGGTGTCCCTTGGGCTTCGGACAGCCCAGGCCCACAGCAAGTATGAAGGGCAAGTATGGAGGTCAGGGTGGGCTTCAGCCTGGGGGCCTAGCCTCATGAGGCACTATTTCACCATGACCAACGCAGGTCCATCAGGGTGCTCCTAGCACCCTACAAAATACTGAGCTCCCACCTATTCTTGGTCCTCAGTGTCTGGTCTGGACAGATGGAAACTCTAGTGAGAGTCTGCGGAGTCAGTGAACCCAATAG